GGCCGTCCAGAGGCCAGCGACTGATCTGCCTCGCCCAGGAAGAGTGCAATGATGGTGCTAACTTGGGCCAATGAAGCAACGTCCTCCACAACTAGACTGAAGAACAAAATGACAGCAACTTGTCTTTTCCCCTTCCCCAATTCCCCAACGCTGTTCCCATCCCCCAATTAAAAAAATAAAATAATAAAAAAATAAATAAAAATGATACCTGTTTGAGGCAACAAGAAAGAGTTAACTCTTGACAGTTTGTTGTTTTGCCCTTCAAGACAACTTTCTGTACACGTGCAAATTACACACAAAAATGTATGAAGTCTTAATTCTTTTTAATAAAACCTTATTATGGAAAATTTCAAACCCATACAAAAATGTCAAACTTACAAAAGAAAAGAGCAGTATAATGAGCCCTTATATACCCATCACCCAACTTTAACAATTATCAACATTCACTATTTTTATTTCATGTATACTACCCTTTTTGGCTTATTTAAAAATGTAAATTATGAAATATTCCAAACTTACAGGAAATACTAAATGTTCAAGTTCCCACCACTCCCAATTTAACAATATGGTATTGTTTAGTGCTTTTAAACCATAAATATTGTCAAAATGCACATAACCACTTGCAGTAATTTCCACTAACACATTAAGATGTTAACATGTCATATTTTTTCAAATCTTCCCTCCCACACACACCATTGGTACTGGGATCTTTATGTTATCAAACACACACAAAGCTTCATACTACTAAGTTCCCAGTACTTATGGCTTTTTTGAAAATCTCAAGTTTACATCCTGCCCCAGTTTTTTTAAAAACAACTTTATCGAGGTATAATTTGTCTCCAGTTTTTTAAAGTGATGCTTGAGAATTTAAATTCCCTATGGGTATTTAATTTCTGAGCACTATGAAAAATTGGATCCCTAATTTGTGTACAACCTAATAAAGCTAATTTTATTTTAAAATAGATATAAAATTGCTGGTCTGAGTACAAAAGTATATCACAATTTATTTAAATAGAGGATTTGGTCTCTCCCCTTCACCCTTTCAACGAAATCAAATGTCACAGATACAGGCAAAACGCTGCCCTTTATCTCACCCATCCTCTTCCCTCCCAAAAATAACCGCTATCCTGAAGTTGGTGTGTCTTATTCCCAAGCATCTTTTTATACTTTTTCCACATAGTATGTTTTTATGTGGTATTGTTTGGTGCTTTTTTAAAAACATACATAAATGTTGTCACACTGCACATAACCATTTGCAATAATTTCCACTTAACATGTTTTTTTACGCCTCCTAAATTCATTTTAAAATAAAAAATTAAGGTCTCTAGGTGAGGAGTGAGGCATGGGCGGGCCCTGATGATGGGCGGAGCCTGGAATGGGAAACGGGAGGGGCCATATGGGCGTTGGGCGGAGCCTGGGAGATCCCGGGGCTTTGGGTGGACGCGCTGGTCCCACCTGGAAGCTGTCGTCATGGTGGCTCCCGTGGTGTACCTGGTAGCTGCAGCTCTCCTTGTTGGCCTTATCCTCTTCTTGACTCGCAGACGAGGCTGGGTGGCAGCAGGTAGGAGACCCCGCCGCACCGGAGCCTTTAGGCCAGCGTCCTCTGGCCTCCTGAGCTTTGGTAGGCCTTCGCGCCGAGACTCCTGCGCATGTGCCGGCATGCCTGGCGCGGCTGAGGAGAGGATCTAGTCCCCCGGCTGTGTTTGGTGCGAGTCAGACAGACCGCGCGCATGCGCATACGTGCGCGACGGGTGACTGGCAGCGAGCCGCAGTGCGAGAACCCGCGACAGGATAGCTGTGCCCCCTACACTTTTATTCCGGCCCCAGAAGACAGCCTCGCCCCATCCCTGCTCTCGCCCCCTAGCACTCTAGACCTTCAGACC